AACAACCCGAAGCAATAACCAAAGATAATACTCATCGCTATTAGAAGGTGGAACATGAACTAAACTTGCAACATTGGTAATCATGTTAAGAGGAATCCACTTTGCAATAATAGGATCCCATTTATACCTAAAACAGAATTCCACATATGTAAAATCTCTAGTCGAAGAACACAAGCGATTGTAATCCAACCAACTCATAAAATGAGTTTGTTTAACTGCTGCGTATGAAATTGTATCATGAATGAGACCACCATCACCATAAACAATTAGTGGAGGAATGGGTAGATGAAAGGTAAGGACTGTTTCAGTCGGTCAACCAAATCACCTATACAAAGAACACATAGAGTAACATAAAAAAAAGTTACTTCTATAGTTAATAAAAAAAACGAACCATTATACGCCAAATCGGCTGTATTAATATGCATATTAGATAATTTCATAATAGTTTAAACGTAAAGCTAACTACAATAGTTAAAAAATATATGCTTTCTTGTCCGAAACAAAATAAAGCGTACCATAGGTATCATCTGGCGAACACAGATTATCTGTACCGTTGTTGGTAGACGAAATGATCTGAAACCCAAATCATTGAAATAAATAATTAGAACATCGCATATTGATTTATAGGCCCTAGATTGATAGGAATAATAAAAGGATAAGTATATTTACTTGTTTTTACTCGTAATTTTTTGAAGAGATAAGTATATTTTCTAAAAAGATAAGTATATACCGAACTATATATATATCTAGATTTTAAATAAAGAGAACGTAATTGCTACAAAGAATAAGTAAATTGAAGTTAAATTCTTATGTTGTTTATAAGGAAACAATACTATACAATATGGTTGATAAGGAAACAAAGTAAAAGATCACCATTATATGACTAATATGTCAACATTTATAAAATTACTGGTTACCAATATCTACTGGTTACCAAAACTTATAAAATCATAGATATCTAAAGGAGTCGACCCTGGCGATGACGTACATCATACTGCGGTTAGATGGTCGAGTCCGCAGATCGGGTAAAGCAAGTTTCATCTAGAACCCTTTCCTCTTCTGGTTGCAAAAATTGATGCTATGTTTCAGTTTTTAAAGCGGTTTTGTGCATCTGGGATGTAAGGGGAAATAACTCTGTTTTTCACGGAATACCACATCCTTGACCACACAGTTTAAAGATTTTCATACAAAGATTCAGTATCTACATGGATCTATTTATGTATGTTG